CCTCGTCCACATTTGTACCTCACAGTTAAAAGAGGAGTGAAGGGATCGTTTGTACGACGTGAACGTGAAGAGAAATTCATGTGTGACGATGCTAAGGAACACTTTAAACTCCTTCGAGAACCTGAAAGAAAATCAAAAATTAAATATTTGGGTCTCCTTTCAAGTAAATTGAGATGTAAATCATCTTTTGTCTCACCGACACCTGGTGGTGGTGTATTAGCTTGCACTAACCCCAGTTATACCAATAAAAACCCTCTACCAGTGCCTGGAGAAAACGAGAAAGTTGATGTACCTCGGGTCCGGGGAACTGGAACTTTAACCATGTTTTGCGCCCTCAATGGACAACATTATGCACTCACCTGCTTTCATGTTGGTTGTGCAACTGATGAAAACCGTTTAAACGCCGCATTCAATAAAGTAGAAGATGTTCAGAAGATGTGCAATGCACTTCCAGCTTATGAAAGTTATGCAAAGAAACAGCAATATTATTTTACACAAGGCAATATGGAGAACGACAATGTCCCCATCTTATTTGGATACGATGGAACGGACTGCACGGGTTATGGTGGTTTTGACAATTATCATTTTGACAACGAATCTGGCATTTGTCTCTAAAAGTTTTGGATGGCGTTAAAATTGATTGCAAAATAGCGTATGCAACTTCTGCTGATTGGGATGGTATATGGGATGAATTGTAGAGAGTGATAGTAATCCAGTGGAAGTGGAGAAAACCGATTTTTTGGCGGCGTTAACCCGTGGCTATATTGTTCCTTGTGATTTTAGTTACAGCCAAGAACAGGAGCCATTATTCCAGGATGCATTCGCCGTCAAGGGATGTAGTGGTCCATTCTTGGAAGGCGGTGACTCCGATTCTCTCGTTTTCGTTCATGACAATTAAGAATAACCAGAAACAGGTGTTTGCCTATGGGGTTTGCAAAGTGGATGCGCTTCTCTTACCAGAACAGCACGAGTCAGCGAGTTCTTGCAGTTAGTGCTGAAGACGAGTCCGTGAGTCTGAACAGGAAATGGAGGATGAGAATGAAACTACATCTGAGCGTTCTGAGGCTGAATTCAAGGATGAAAAAAGTGAATGTAAAGATGGATGGCAAGATCAAGATAAATTGGAATGTGAAGAAGAATGGGTTGTTTTTCAGGAAGAAAGTGGAAGCGACATTTCGAAGAAAGAAATGGAGAAAGAAAGAATTTCCAAGGAGAGAGTGAAAGCGTCCGGCCCATACTTCATCTGTCTTAGATTAGATATGGGTTTAGAAAACCTAGAACTTGAGAAAGCAGCTTGTTTTCACAATTGTGGCTGTAACTGAAAATGATGTGAATCATCTTCCAGATGTTCCTGTATATGCGGACGATTCTGAACTTTACCTTTTATTCAAGCCAGATGGCGAAATGAGTTAGGCCGCGGCATTGAATGCGATGGAACGCTGTGTGAATGAGCAAGTGAACTTTATTTAACCACGGTAAACTCATCAGGATTTTACACGCCAATTATAGAATAGAATAAAAAGTTACATATTACAATTTTATATACATATCCATTTATAAAAGTACCTGTTTTCCATGAGTGCCGTGCAATTACTAATATAAAGATAAAAATTTGAAAATTATTGTATGAAGTTGCTGCAGTTAGTGTCTCGATCGTCTCTCGTTTGTGCGTATTATTAACTTGCGTTGTGTATTGGCGTCTCAACGACAATCGAGAACCGTAAGCGGAGGTTCTTTCAATGAATAAGTTCTGAATAATGACGGACGATTCACGCAATAGTTTCAATGATATATTTACTTAATTACAATTTGTAACTCCCATAACGCGAGCCAGTTCAAGACTATATACAAACATAAAAATATAATAATAATGTGTCCAAAGCACGAATGTAATTTTACCCCTAAGCAAATTATTCTGACCAATCAAGTTCGAGTATGTGTGCGATTACTAATATTTGTACATTGACATGTGCTAGGTCTGTGTCATTCAAAGACAAGTGCGTAATTCAATATCTATATGATTATATTAAAGTCATTAGTGTTTTAGCGTCTGTCGCTATTTCACGACATCCTCCGGGGGACACAACAATGAGGATGTCCAGTCTTTAATTTTCTTCTTTGCTGCTACTGCTGCTGATCGTTTCTCTCTCTGTGGCGGGTTCTCGGATGGTTGATCTTTCTCGTCACTTGGTTCGTCAGTTGTGGGACAAATACCAAAGGAGGTTGTAGCTCTAACCTCTAATGGATACAGTTTGGCAATTGGACGGTTAGTACGGCCGGTACTGGTTCTGATGTTGGCTGCTCGAACCAATCCATCGTTGCCAGTGATGAGACTTTCAACCACAGCTAATCTCCAGTTGATACGTTTCGTATCATCATGGACTTGTACAACGTCACCAATTTTTGTGGTAATCTCGTTTTTTTCACTTGCCTTATGAAATTCTCGAAGGGACGTTAAATACTCGTGTCGCCAACGATTCCAGAAATGATGAATGAGGTTTGCTCTAATATTCGCAAGGTGTTGTACAAGTGTGGTGTCTTCGTTGAAGGTGGGATCAGACCATTCCTCTTCTTCTATCAGTGGGTGGGGTAATGCCGTTATTCTGCGACCATAGAGTAGATGGGAAGGTGTCAAGGGTTGTTCGTCTTCGATGTTGGAGGAGACGAATGTAAGTGGACGGTCGTTTAGTATTGCTTCAATTTCCACAACAATCGTTTGAAGTTCAGACAGCTGAACAGAGGCTCTTCCCAAGACTCTTTTAAGGGTAATCTTCGTCAGACCGATGAGTCGTTCCCAAAATCCACCGTACCATGGAGCACGTTTGGGGATGAATCTCCATTGTACGGCACGATTGCTAAGATGTGTCTCGAGGAGTGGGGATTTCAGGAGCTTCAACAACTCTTCTGCAGCGGACTGGTAAGTGGAGGCGTTGTCAGATATTAAGACTTTTGGCAGTGACTTGCGGCTTGCAAATCGACGGAAAGCTTCAATAAAGGTCGGAACTGTTAGGTCGGTCACGACTTCAAGGTGAACGGCACAAGTACTTGCACAAGTCAACAGGCAGATATACACCTTCGATCGACCGTTGGTTGATTTCACGTAGATTTCGCCTGTAAAATCGACCCCAGTAATGGTGAATGGGGGTGAATCATTCGTTCGAGTTATTGGAAGTGGTGGTGGGTCTGGTATCGTGTATGGTTTGCCTGTAGTTTTGAGGCACGTTACACAACGACGGATGATCTTCTTAATGTATTGTCTGGCAGCAGGTATCCAATATCTTTGACGGAGGTGGGTAAGGGTAGAGTTTTGTCCAGAGTGAAGGGTTGCTCTGTGTGCATCCTCCACAATCAACTGTGTAAGGTGATGGTTTCGTGGAAGGAGAATGGGGAACTTAGCAGATTCTTGAAGAGGAGCATTATGTATTCTTCCACCACAGCGGATGATGCCTTCGGCGAGAAATAGACGAAGTTGTCTGACCAATGATGATCGGTTAGATGTCTTTGACTGTAGGTTGACAAGTTCGTTTGAATACACAACAGATTGACAATCAACAATCCAAAACATTAGAGCAGAATCTAGTTCAGTGACAGATAATGGACCAGAATGAGTTCTCTTCTTCAGGTTATCGACGAAGCGTAGAACCCACGCTGTGACTCGTACTAGCTTATGGAGGTTACTATAAGCAGACAGATTGATAATTTTGGCAATTCCATGTTTAGGTTCAGGTACGTTAGTTGGGTTGTTTGTTGGTTCACTAGTAATGGTGGAGATGGCTTCGAGTTGTTCTGCTGCAGTGGACTGGAGGAGAACAGATTTGGAGTTCCAGCTGGGCCAGTTCTTCTTTGTATTTAGCCACGAAGGTCCACGAGACCAGAGAGTGGATGTGGATAGTTCACTAGTATGCATTCCTCTGGTTAGGAGATCAGCGGGATTATCCCCAGTTGGACAATAGTTTCATGAGGCAGTTTGTGTGAGCGACTGGATTTCGGTGACGCGGTTGTGGACGAATCGCTTCAAATCTTTCTTAAAGGACAACCAGTGGAGGACTATTTGACTATCCGACCAGAGGTAAACGTCGGACGCTTGTAAATGGGCTTGGAGGTATGAAGACAGTCTTGCACCAAGTACAGCTGCCATTAACTCGAGCTGTGGTAAGGTAAGTTTCTTGAGAGGCGCAACTCGGGATTTGGCCATAACCAATGATGTTTCGGAACCACAAGTGATATAGGCAGCTGCTCCATATGTTTTAACACTGGCGTCGACAAATACGTGGAGGGAAGTGCTAGGTGGCCATGTTGATGAAGAGGGGAAGTAACGGCGAGGAATTTCAATTTGTGTGGCAGTTTGCAAATCCTTAGAGAGTGCCAACCATTTTTCTTGGAGCTTTTGTGGTAAAGATTCGTCCCAACTGTACCCTTCTTTCCACAGTTCTTGTATAAGTATCTTGGCTCGAATGGTTACTGGAGTTAGGATGCCAAGTGGGTCGTAAATCTTGGAGGATTCGCGGAGAACTTCTCTTTTTGTGATGCTATTGTTGGCGTCGTTAGGTAGTTGCCGTTGCTGAAACTGGAGTGTATCAGTGTTAGGATTCCATCGAAGCCCGAGTACCTTTGTTTCTGGATCTTTGTCTTGAAGGCCTTGGTCTGCGGCTGATGCACGAACCGTGGGGTTGTTAGAATTCCACGCTCTTAGATTAAAGCCCACAGGTGACATTATGAGCCTTGATCTTTCAAGAAACGTAGATGCTTCATCCTCACTGTCAGAGCCAGTGGCGAGGTTATCAACATAAATATCGGTCTTCATTTTCTCAGCGACTGGGTTGTGAATACTTTCGAGATGTTTCTTGAGGGTCGCATTTAGGATAAACGGTGAACACAAAGCACCAAATAGGATGGACTTAAAACGATAGACGTCAAATGGACTTTCCGGGTCCTTTGGGTCCAGTAGCTAAACAATCATTCAAGCTTGGTTGACTATCGTTTGTTTTGCAACTGCAGTCAAAGACGACACGAAGTGGAGTGGTGGAGGAGTCTTTCAAGATAGCATGGTGTGGAAGGTAGTGACATCTGCTTCGGATCTTTTCGGAATCGGGGATTTTCTCTATAAATCCACGTTGTTGTTGTTCAGTGATGATTTGGTTGTATGCTTTCAGCTTTTCGGGGTCTGTGGCAAGCCGTCGTACTGTGGAGCGGGTTCGTCCTTTTGCTATTGCTTCATTTGTAGGAAGTGGTGGGTGATTAGGTTTCCAAGGCAACTTAGCATTATAGTGTCCATTTTCAAGGTGAATTGAAGAATTTTGGTAGTCTTCAACGAACTCTCTTTCTTTTTTCTCGGTTTCATGAGGTAAAATGCCTATGGATTCCAAGTTCCAGAACCGTTCTAACATTTCTTCTTCCCGTTCTGTCGCAACGATGGCCTTGAGGACTGTAGCGGTGAGTTCTGATGGTGGGGAGGGAATGGCAGTTGGTCCAGACAGTAGGTAGCCAATCTTTGATTTGGCGGCAGTAGGTCCAGATCCCCAAACAATCTTGTCTTCTACCACGTCCCAATAGTGGTCTGCACCAATGAGGAGAGAGATCTCGAATTGGTCATCGCTGGTGACGGGATGAGCTAGCTTGAGGTTCTTGAGGTAAGGTAGGTTGTATATGTCAGTGGTGATATGGTTCTTTTGTGGTATAGCAATCACTGGGATGATTACTACTTGGATTGGGATAATTCCACCAGTGTCTGTTTGTAGATGTACGGTTGCGATATCGACTCTTTTCACTGATGTCTAGGCACCACCGAAGACTGATAGGTGTAAAGGTTCTGGCACGAGGTTGAGACTGTTTGCTAATTCTTCAGTTATGAAAGAACGTTGGGCACCTTCATCGAACAGGATGCGTGCGGTTGCGGCTCTGTTTCGGGATTGTACGGTGGCTATTGCTGTTTTCAGTAAGGTACATCGGCGGGAGTACTTGTTGTCGGATAGGTTGGTATGAAGGTTCGTAACGGATGCTGACGTGTTGTTACCAGATGTTTGTTCGCTTGTGTTGGTTGTTTGAGCTACGTCGCCGCCGTTGGTACACATACATTGCACGTTTCTGTCCTTGTCTTTGATGTTTTGACGCGCGTTTGGATCAGGTTTTTGTTGTTCTGGGCGCTCTTTATTCCCTACACAAAGGCTTGTATGGTGTTTCTGGTGACATTGTCTGCAGCGGTTTTTGGATTTGCACTGTGACACGCGATGGTTATTAAGGCAGTTGAAACACAAGTTCGCCTGAAACGCAATTTGTTTTCGTGCAGCAGGATCACTTACTACCGTACAGTCGTTCGGTTTGTGAGATCCATTACAGAAAGTACACGCCTTCGGTTTGGAGGGGTTAGGTGGTGTTTTAAACTTTGAGTTACTGAAATTTCCCCCAAGGTTTTTGTATCTGCTAGTGTTCGTTAATAAACTGGAGATGGAAGGGAGGGTATCAGGTGACTGACTTAAATTGTTAAGTTCATTTGTCTCTTCACCTGCCTCGAGTATAAGGATTTCCTTCGAAATAGCTTTGCGCAATTGTTCTAAACTCAAGTCCGTGGTTCCATGTTCTCGAATAAGATTGTGTTTTACAGTGGTCGGAAGCTTGCTCAAGATAACGGGCACTAGGAGATCACCGTAGGAGTCTTGTGTTTTTCCCAAAGCTTCAAGGCTTCGGACGTGATTTTCCATGCGGTCGTAAAACCCACGTAACCTAGTTACCGACTCAGATGGATTAGGGAGGTCTAACAATGCTTGCATGTGTGCGTTTGTGATTTTATGTGGTTGACAAAATCTTTCTTCTAGTATCTTGACTGACTGTGCGTAGTTTGTGTCTGTTAGTGGTAAACCCTCGATTGATCTAGCCGCTTCTTCCGCCAGATGCGCTTTTAAATAATTGAATCTTTGTATGTCACATAGAGATTTATTATCATGAACTGCGGCTTTGTACGAGTCCCAAAACGTTTGCCATTTTAGTGGATTCCCATTGAATATCGGCAGGGCTAACTTAGGTAATCTATGCGCACTCGAATTGTTCAATTGCGGCGAGTAAGTGTGACCTTGAGAGGCCAATTGTTCTCCTTGATTATAGTTTTGCGCCGCAGACAGCGTGTTGTTAGGACTTGCCGTAATGGCTTGATTAGCACTTATAAAAAATTGTATTCGGTACCTTTTATCCATTAGCTCACTTAGATAGTCGTCTGCTTCCACGATCTCGCTTTCCAGTTCTTTCTCGGTCTCGATTTTACACGATATATTCTCGTCGAGCTTTTTCAATTGTTCGATTTTCGTGTCGAATGTCTGTAGCACAACTTGTAGTCGTTGAATGTTGGTTTCGTTGATCTCGTCATTCATTAACGTTTCTGCTTTATTCCACGTCTTTGTTGCTTGGGCTCGTTGAGCCCGTCGAGTTATCTTTGCGCGTTTAAGATCGTCCATCCTGGTCACGGCACCAATGTCTCGATCGTCTCTCGTTTGTGCGTATTATTAACTTGCGTTGTGTATTGGCGTCTCAACGACAATCGAGAACCGTAAGCGGAGGTTCTTACAAAGAAAAAGTTCTGAATAATGACGGACGATTCACGCAATAGTTTCAATGATATATTTACTTAATTACAATTTGTAACTCCCATAACGCGAGCCAGTTCAAGACTAAAAACAAACATAAAAATATAATAATAATGTGTCCAAAGCACGAATGTAATTTTACCCCTAAGCAAATTATTCTGACCAATCAAGTTCGAGTATGTGTGCGATTACTAATATTTGTACATTGACATGTGCTAGGTCTGTGTCATTCAAAGACAAGTGCGTAATTCAATATCTATATGATTATATTAAAGTCATTAGTGTTTTAGCGTCTGTCGCTATTTCACGACAGTTATAGTTGAATTGACGTAAAGTGTTAGCTTGTCGTATCTCGGCTGGAAGGGTGTCCCACAGTACCGCACCGCTGTAGCTAAAACTATTTTTCAATGCGTGGTACGGTTCAGTTATATAAAGCTAATTTGCCTCCGGTGTCTTTCAATGTATAATTTGTAACGTTACTGCGATCGACAAACATTTCCGTTATAGATAATCTGGTACAAGAACATTCAGAGATTTATACATCATTACAGCCTTAATTAAAATTGCGTTTAATGTTTATGTAGATTAATTATCTTACGAGTTATGATGACTTTACCTGAGGACATTAGATCATATACTAATTATTTTAGGTTTATCAAATTAGCTAACGCTTATTTTAGCAACAGAGCGACGGAAAGACTCTGATTTTTTTAAAATTGTATATATAGTTATATAGATTTGTAGTTAAAGCAGTAGTTAGTTTTATTGCAATTAGCGTAAGAAGAGCCACTTTGTGGAATATGCTAAAAAACTTTATTATTGTCATTATTATTATTATTAACTAATTATTCTAATTTCTCGAAATATCGAAGTGTTTTTGAGCTTTTTCAACCTCGTACACAGGGTCTTAGCGAGGTGAGAAAAGACCCTGAGGAGTGAGGAGGATTGAGTAGGGTGCGTAGTGACGTCACTCATTAACATACGTCATAATTATATGCAATGACGTCGCGCGGGCGAGCTTAAGCACGATCAGGTGAAACTTGCTGACTACGCATTTTTAGCGTCCCACACGTGTGTTGAATAGTTTGTGTCCCTCGCATGGCAAAATTGTTATCGAAATTAATATATAGCAGAGTTATAGCCGTATCTTTGCTCGGAAGAGATAAATTTCCACAGGTATATTGAAGGATTTTTTGTATGTTCCATAGCGAGGAATCTATTCGTCACAAAAATCAAGACATATTTTAAACTAAACAGTTCCTAATCCCGAGTTGTCAACGTCGTTGTTATGGTCAATATTTGCATGTTGTTCAAGATTATTTAGCAATCCTCCTACATACATATATACTGTTAAGATGATCATAAGAAAACTTATCAAGAGTAGAAGTTAGAATTAGAACAGTTGTAATATTTTTTGACACTATCGTCTGTTATTTGTATCAATAAACATGTTTTATACTTTGCAAATGTTGCGTTGTTATGCGTTGCTAAGTCATTAGGAGGCGTGTAGGTAATTAAGGGGATTAAGGTAATACGAATTTGCATAACTAAGTGTATCCCGATGGATAGATAGGGATTATTTTTTAACGCAGGTGTATACCTTAAAATCAGGCGCGTGGCTTTGCGGGTACATGCATATATTAAAGTACAACATATTTGTACACGGATCTTTTCGCGCGGGCGGAAAGAGCGGGCTTTGCCGGCAAAAAATTACACAATATTTCAGTTTTTAAACACATTTATTTCTTCAAAACGTTATACAAAATTTAGTACGGTCTACTTCTAAGAGCGTAACGTCTAGGTGTTTTTGTTATTTTTAAAGAGTTCTCATATTCTTGTCTATCTTCTGGGGATAACTTTGCAAGTTTTTCCGGCTTCATTGGAATATATTTCGGTCTATCGCTCAATATAAAACGTTCATAATCCTCTCTTGCTTCCGGAGTCATTCGCGCTAGGTCACGTTCGGTCCAATCTGCTGGGTCAACCCAATTGTGAAAAAAATTGCGCTTGAGTTTTGGCCGTTCCTCTCCTGTTGGTGGTGGTGTAAGGAAATTAGGTTTAGGCGTAGCAGGCACTGGTGGTACTATCTCAGCAAATTCATTGGGTGGTGGTATTTCTGTAGGCACTAGTGGAGTGGTCTGAACAGGAGCTTGAGCTTGGACATCCATCTTATTTTTGAATGTGAGAAACCGATTTAGTTGATCCGAATATAATTTGCTTTTTTCCACTGCGCTAAGCTGTGGTGCATCCATGATTTCTTTCATTCGCTGCTCGGCATCATACATGGCATTTACAAGTGGTGGTTGTCGATACGACTGTTTTTGTATAAACTTTTCAATCTCACCGGGAAGTATGTTGGTCTTGAGTCGTTGTTGATCATCTGTTGTTGGCTTTAAATCCAACATCAAATACCCGTGAGGTCGGCTCGTAGCATCTTCATAACTCCTCATAAATTCTTGTACTTTTCCGGGATTTATTTGCCTTGCAAGCATAGAAATTTGTTGTTTATCTCTTGGTGACTTGAACAACACGATATAATGGGCGTTTAGGCTAATATTTCTCATTTCTTTGCCTTGATGAAATATATTTTGAACAATATAGATGATAGATAAATTCCGATGATGACTTCCTTTCGTAAAAAGATCAGAAATACGTTTATCTTTGCCAGATTGAGCCATAAGGTCGTCCAATACGATCAAATTCCGTTGCGATACGTCCAAGTAATCTGCGTTGTCGATGTCTTCGGGGATGCCTTGATTAAACTCGATTCCAGACATCGTTCTCATTATATCAAAATAGGAGGGTTGCCATTGACCATAACACCAAATGATACGTTGAGGAGCAGGACTTATAGTTTTCTGTGCATTCTCCAAGAGTGATTTTACCCATACAGTTTTGCCGCTTTGGGTACACCCAGCTACGATGCACGTAAAAGGGTGTTGCAAAACAACAGATCCATTAGTCGTCATGCGAATGTTGTTGGTTGGTTTTTGATCATGCACTTTTTGTTTGTGTCGATTTAAATTGAACGGTTTAGAGAAATATTTCCCACAGATATGACACGAATGAGACATGTTTACTCTATGACGAAGAGTTAGATAATAAATCTCTCAAATAGAAACCGAGTTTATATAACTAGTATCTCGTAGCCAACTCCCTAGTCTCGTACCCAAGCTCCTTAGGCTCGGAGCTCCTTAGACTCGGAGCTCCTTAGGCTCGGAGCCAGCTCCTTAGGCTCGGAGTCAGCTCTTTAGGCTCGGAGCCAGCTCCAAGCCCAAGGAGCCAGCTCCTTAGGCTCGGAGCCGAGCTCTTTAGGCTCGGAGCCGGGCTCCTTGGGCTCGGAGCCAGCTCTTTAGGTTCGGAGCCAGCTCCTTAGGCTCGGAGCCGAGCTTCTTGGGCTCGGAGCCAGCTCCTTAGGCTCGGAGCCGAGCTCCTTGGGTTCGGAGCCAGCTCCTTAGGCTCGGAGCCTTGTCTAAATTGCTTTCTCTCTTCCGATATAAGCTTCCTTATTGTTGTGTTTTACTCATTTGCTTCCAAACCGTCGAACAGAAATGATCAATCTTCTAAGGCACAAGCCATTTCTTGAATTGTTGGGGACGTCTGAGCCTGATCAACAACAAGCACTACTGGAAACAGCAACCGCCGAGCAAGTACACTGCCTGTGTCTCTGTGTAGAAAACGTTATGAAAAGAAAATATTTAATGTCGAAGCATGTAATGAAGAAACTCAGACCTTACAGACATGAAATGCTTAGGTTGGTAGATAGAGAAAAATGTGGAAGAAGAAAAAAACGGATACTCATTCAACATGGTGAAGGTTTCCTTGGACTATTACTAAGTCCTATTTTGGAAAGCCTGGCTGAACTTGTATAAAAGCCCTGTGACTACAAATTATACATCATTTCAACAATGAACATCGGGAGTAAAACATCTCCGCGACATTGGCGCATTAAAGATGTACTTTTGTATCTGAACAATAATGTCAACAAAACTACAGCAGAAAAAATGCTACATTCTATTCTTATATCAAGTGATATTTTAACTTGGAATCCTCAGGGTGAGATTGTTTATCATAGAAGAGACATTCCTGGTACTAACATCGAGAACTTTTTACAATACGCACTTTTACCATACAACTCTCACATTCCTGAACCACGAGGGCTCGCCCTGTTTACAAAAGGTCTAGTAGAAGCAGGGGTTAATAAAGATTTGATTAAAAACGAGTATTTATTGTCAAAAATGGCAAAGGAGGAACATGAAATGCCACAATCTGAGAGTGATGTTGAAAGCGAATCTGGTGAAGAGAACAGGGAATCTGACAAGAGTGATAATGAAAGCGAATATGATGATAATGAGGATGATGATAATGAGGAGGAAGGTGAGCCCGAGAAACTAGCTTGTAACCATTGTGGAGAAGAAACTGGTCACATTGTATACTTAATGAAGTGCCCAAGATGTTCGTGGAAAGATTTCTACTGGAGCAAAGACGCTCAATGTATGATATGTGATGAACAGTCACCTCTATTGTTTTCGCATGTCATTGGTTTCTGCGAGCTATGTTCGTATGCTACGTCTAACACCAAGACGGGTGGAGTGGAGTTCACACCAAAAATGGACAAATAAAAGACCCAGCAGATTGGACCGAACGTGACCTAGCACGAATGACTCCGGAAGCAAGAGAGGATTATGAACGTTTTATATTGAGCGATACCGACCGAAGTATATTCCAATGAAGCCGGAAAAACTTGCAAAGTTATCCCCCAGAAGATAGACAAGAATATGAGAACTCTTTAAAAATAACAAAAACACCTAGACGTTACGCTCTTAGAAGTAGACCGTACTAAATTTTGTATAACGTTTTGAAGAAATAAA